GTGGGCCCTATAGGCTATTGTGCGGGCATGAAAGCCCGTAGAGCCCCTCAGCCCAGTGCGCATGGAGGCCCGGAAGGCCGCACAAAAGTCTGCAGGGCCCCCTGGCCCAGTGCACACGGAGTCTCCGGGAGTCCACACAGGATCTTCCTGGCCCCATAGGCCCTTCAAAAGTCCATAGGGGCTGCCCGGTCCCGTGCGGACAGAAGCCCCTGGGGTCCACACAAAAGCCCGTAGGGCCCTCTTGGCCCCATGCGGTCTACTGAGCTGCTTGCTCCCGCTGGATACTTGCGTGTCGCACACGAGTCTGCAGACACTGGACGTTATTCACCCACCAGCCCCGTTGGGATGGAGGCCTCGGTGCTGCTGAGCGGCCGGTACCGCCGCACAACCCAGGAACCGTCTCCTGGTTTCAATTAGGCAGCGCTGCAGCTCTCCCCTCCAGCCACAGGAGCAAGAGGGGCCTGTGAGAGCCCAAAGGAGGCTGACGGGATCCCCAGCACCTCCCTGGGCTGGCGGGGTTCGCAGCTAACCCTCCTGGGCCCTTGGGGTTTTGTTTTGTCTTTTTTAAGTAATTGATGCAGAGAGATGGTTCTGCAAGGAGCGACTCGGAGCAGGGCCTTCGTGTGAACGCCCCGAATCGGTCTGTTAAGGGGACATCTTCTCTGCTGGCAGCAGAGGAGCCTGTGGACGAGGGAGCCAGCCAGAAGCCATGATTAGAACTACCTGTATGGCAACCACATCAAAATATATGTGTGAGAGACCCATTTGCTAGCGGGGCTTGGCTATTTTGTGGCAAGCGTGGATAAAAGACGAGATAAAGCAAGTACAATACGGAGCAGGAGAGGGGAAAGCATAGGTCTCTTACAGTGCAACCTCAAATCAAACACCCGATGCATTAGCCATGTACATTCCCTACTATTTTTACAGGAATACAATGAATTCCACCTACGACTCTTTCACTGTGACCTCAGGAAAAAACACTGTGGTAGCAAGGGCCGTTGAACTCATCCTCCCACCTCCACTTGCCAGTTCTCACCCTCTCCTGGATATTGCTCCTATTTGTTCTTATGGGCTCATTTTCCAGAGGGATAGAGAGACGGAAGCTTTTCCAGGAATTTCAGCCTCATTAATAACAATCCTTTACCTTGATGTTCTGGTACAAACGCACCACCTAGTGGCAATCAGAAACAGAAGCAGAAAATGTTGGGAAATACATTTTTTTTTTTAGCAATTTAGGCAGATTGCTGAAAGCAATAAGGGACTAGCATGGCACAGGACCCCACTGGAAAGAGATGACACAAATACATTTTTTTTTAGCAATTTAGGCAGATCGCTAGCATGACACAGGACCCCACTGGAAAGAGATGACACAGATCTTTACTTTTCCATGTAAGCTCAATCTTTTAAATCATTCCTTTTCATATTTTAGAAGATGAAAGCAAAAACCAAGAGCTGCTCACTAAGCCTCGTGCTTCCTCCTTGCTCTCACAAGCTTTACGAGAGTGAAAAATCAAAGCTGATGTGGCCATACCTGTGCTCAAGTACAAATACGGCTTCCCCTCCCAAATATTCAGGTACCCAAGGAATGAAAAACATACTAGGGTGAAATGTAATTTTTCTGGTTTTATTTTTTAAAGAAAAATATTCCTCTTTGAACACAAAGCATGAACTAAAAACCCCCGAGGAACAGTTTCTCCTTCCCTGGAGCACGACGTAACTAAACTGTACAGTGTTAGAGCTCGCCAAACAAGTACACATACACGACATACAATATTTCTTTCACAGGAAATAAGGTTCAGGACTCTCAGAATTGTCCTCATCTTCTCTAGATACCCATTCCATCCAGAAGTACTCTGGCCCTTACCCACCACAGGGCACAGTGACGATCACTTCTGGAGGCAACACACATGAGAAAAAAATGCAAAATGTCATTGTATTGGCCAAATTGGCCCTTTCTAGCCTTCTTACAAGTGTCTGTGCGAGAGGTTAAGACCATAGTTATTTCCAGGAATGGTGCTTGGAAGAAGAAGTATAGCAGCATCTAGAGGCAAGAGCAGCCCTTCGTTCCAGCCGTGCCGCTGTAGGAACCCAGCCAGTTCCGCAGGGCTTTACGGATGTTCCCGTCACCCACAAAGAGGGAGCGGGAATAAAAACATTCACAGGCTGAATTTGCTGTTTGAGCAGGCAGGCTAAACTCCACGGAATCTGGCCTAGGCAATGAGCTTTTTTCCACACTGCCACAGTGACCAATTTAATGTTTGATCTTCTACCAAGAGTTACCGTGACTTTCCGAGTTCAATAACTTGTCCTACCAATTCTCTCTATCCCCTCAACTGCAGGTGTACGCAATAGTTATCATCTGCCAAGCTACCCACACTGCTGGAACTGGAACCAGATCCTGGAGTCCAAGTTCTTTCAAATCCAGAACAGAAAGGTCTCAGAACATACAGAACAAGCCCACATCCAAAGAAAAAGTACTTGGGCATTTTCAAAGGAAGGTAAGGAATGGAAAGGGTCTGGGAATGGAGCTTGTGCGTGTCTCACCCCATCCATAATTGTGGCTATTATTAAGGAACATTCAAATCTTCAGCAAGCAGATCAGTTTGTAAAGACCTTTTCCATTCCATACACTCCAACAATTTTTTACAGTAGGAAAAAGATTAGAAAAATAAAATCTCACCCCTGAACAACACCGTATGAAGACCAACATCACCAGTCACAAGGATTTTTATTGGGGGACCAGATCATCTTTTGTTTCCTCCCAACCAGCTTCATTTGAAAACAGCAGCAAGATAGCCACAGTACCTAGGAGCTAGATTAAGGCCAACAATATGCAGACAAACATGGGCTCACATCTTTCAAAATGAAGAAACCCTCCATGGTTTTATACATACGAACACATGCGCACACACAAACACATACACGTGTACTCGTGGGTACTAATCCAAGCAAAGGTTTCACCCCTGTGAAAGCACCACTGGAGAGTGTTCTAGCACCACAGTGAAAAAGTTGGTTGTCTTCCCTCTTCAGCAATAAAATCCAAAGTCTTGATATTGCTTTGGACAAGGTCACCAAATGCCCATCCAAGAACAGTTTCAGTGAGCGGATTCAGAAGTGCAGTGACAGGTAGAGTGTTCCTGCCATGGAACATGGGTAAGAAGAGGTGTGTGGAGAGGCTGCAGCTCCCTGGTTGCTGGAAAGGAGGAGGAAATTCTGTATTGCAATCTGGTAGAGGCAGAGACCAACCTGGGCCCCGGGTGTGTGTGATGGTAAGAGAACTCAGTGCAGACTGGGAGGTGAAGTGGAGAGTTTGCATACATGAAGTCACAGTGCACATCTGTTGGCATAAAACAGACAAGCAGAACCACCGGATTCTCTGGCAGGCTTGTCTCTGCATAGGAGGCCCCTGGGTATGCTGGAAGTCAGGACAAGGATCCGTGAATGGGATGCCACACATCAGGACAACATCCAACTCAAACAGCACAGCTCTAGGGTGAGCTTGTAAGCCAGCCTGTTAGCATTTTGCCTACACACATGCTCAAGTCAGCCTGAAGGAGTCTAAACGGGGACAAAACAGCAAGGTGGTGGAATAGACAAAGCTATGAGAAGCAATTCATGCAAGTTACAAATGAGTTAACCATCAATTAAACAACTGTTCCTGCTGCGGGGCTCTGGCCTGAACCTAGAGCTTTGTGCAGGAGGCACTGACTGTGCAGCCCTTTTCCAACACTCCGGAGAAGCTGAGGGAAAGATGCAGAGTCAGGAATCACATCTCCGCAGTGTCCGTATCAGTGCGTGCGGCCAGACGTCCATCCTCTGAATGCAAAGCCCCACTGACCAGTGAGGATTGGGAGCAGTGGCTGGAAGTGGCTGCTAAAACAGTGCAGGAAGAAATGCAACAGACAAAGAACATTTTTTTTTCCAGAGTTTGAATCACCAGCAGAAAAGCTCCATTGATTCTGCTATACTACAGTAGGCTGTTGAGAGTATTTGGGCTACTGCTCGCTTGATGGGAGCCTGTGGCAGGAACTCAATAAAAACATGCAAGAAAAAGCACGAAGCAAAAGGAGGGGTGATCGTCATGGATTTCAGGCTCTCAGCAGAGTTACCACCAGCAGAGATGCTGTGTCTCTGTCCACAGAGGGAGCAGCAGCAGAGTAGAAAAGGAGGAAAGGACACAGCAAGAATAATGCTATGATTTTTTCCAAGACAGGACACTGGAATTAGGGGAGAAGAAAGAGAAAAAAGTTTGAGGTAAAGAAGCCCAAAGGAAGAGACAACAGAAAAACTCTTGTTAAGAGTCAATCCTGCTTCAGAAAATCCATAGCTACTATCAGCTGGCTCTCTTTTCACTAGGCATCCTTGGCACATTGGTAAATCTCTCTGCTCTTAGGATCTAGCAATCATGACATCGAGGTAAAAAAATTATTGTCTATGATGCACTAAATGATTTTGAGTGTTCAGTGTGATACTCTTCCTAAATGGCACCTGATTTCTAAGCAACATCAAAGATTCATTCATAAGCAGAAGTGCCCTAGTTATAGACTGCTTTTGAAAATCTAGGGCTACTTCCTAGTGAGAAGATCTATCTACTCAGAAAACACAATTGTCCAGGAGTAGGTCTGGCATCTCTAAGAGCACCCCTGCATTTAGCTACATAGAAAACATTTAAAACAGTTCCTTAGCAAATCTCAGCATTAGGCTGAGGATCCAGGTTTCTGGAGAGATGTATACAGTCAGACAGGTCCTCACAGGCTTTCCAGTGTAACAGATTTGGGTGATTTGCACCACAAACAAGCTGTGCTACTCCCTGCCTCAGTGAAGACTCCAGCAGTCAGAGTTGCGAGCCGAAGCCCTTGGAATACTGTGCAAATCACCTGGGAATCCTTTCTTATTAAAACAGAATTAATGCTCCCGGGCAAAGCAAAGCGCAGGGTTCATCTTTCTAGTGCAGACCACACAAAGGGGTCTGCTCTGGTTTGTGCATCTGCAGAGCAACAGTTCTGGTCGGATGTATGCACAGAGAGCAGTTGCTGATAACCAGCAAGACCAAAACAGCAGCTGGCAAGAGTAGCCTTAGGGCACAGCCCGGGTGGAAGCACAAGGACATGCAAGAGGCAAGAGTATCACAGAGCAGCCAAGGTCATCCACATGCTCAGGCAAGCTTAAGGCAACCAAAGAAAAGTTCACTGATAATTAAGAGGAAAGTGTGAAGGGGAAGAGAGGAGAGGAGCCTTTGGGCTAAGAGGCTGGGAAAGCTGTTAACACCAGCCAAAGCCCAGCACCAACAACTAAGCCATCCCTCTTCTCCAGCTCGTTTGTTATAATTCTCCTCATTTTATCAGCACCATCAGCATGAGGTTAAAATGTCAGCAAGAAGAGCTGGGGGGCAGTTCCTAAAAATGCAGCTTACACCTTTTCAGGTGCATGTGTCAGGTCAGTTCCCTTGAAAGAAAGTGCATGGACCATTCGACTGGCCCCTTGCTTTGATCTGGAGCTCTCTGGGAGTTCTGCCTACCATCTCCAGGGGCGATCCTGTGATATGTTCTACCTGGAAGGGATGGTAGCAGCTACCTGGGTTCTTTGTTGCGACAGTTGAGCATACAGTAGTTGAAAACAAAACAAAACAAAACAGCATGCACCAGTGGCACAGCCATTAGACATGAAGCTGTAGCTGAATTTTCTTCAGAGTCTTCTCGGAAGGTGGGACCGAGAAGACAGGGAGTGTTGGCACAAATCAGCGAAGGTTCCGGTAGACATAGGCTGATGTGAAGATAGCATTGAGAGTGAGACTCACGGCGAGCAGCCCTCGGAGAGCGGAGTTACCCAAATGACCTTGGTGGGAGAGGAGAAGAAAAAGAAAGAAGGGATACTAGAAACGTTAAAGAACGGATGAGATAACAGTGAACTCCCTTTGCCCAGTATTTTCACCTTGAGCAGAAATTGCTGAAGTACTTCTGTCAGGAAAGATTTCGCTGCACCTCTTGGTTCTACTTTCATCTTATTCCTCTTCTTGACACCCACATCCCCATCCCTTCCTTCAGTCTCAGTTTAGCACTCTAGCTACCATTATTTTTGAGATAGTCTAAAGAACAGGAACGTAAGGTCTAATGATAGCATAAAGATGAACCATTTTTCCATCACTTGTTTTATTGATTTCAAAATAAAACCACTACCCCAGTGCAGGAAAGATCTCAGTTGTCCTCACAGAAATGCTCACACACAAAACACATAACTTGCACCTACCTCTCCAGCCTGCCAAATCTTCCGCTTTGGTAGTTGTATCCACCACACAGGTAGATGAGTGTGATGAATGATCCTCCTTTTTGATAGAATTATCACTGCAAATGCTCCCTCCTTCTACGGCAGATCTCATATCTGCAAGGAGAAGAGATATGAAAATTCAGGAGGCACTAGTAGAAGCCAAATGCAGCAGAACTTTCCAGGCTAAAGCTAAGCATCAATGCAAGGATTGAAATGGAACCTAGAAACAACAGGCAAAATTCACTGCTCTGCAGCAGAAGATGTCTTCATGTTTGTCTCTCACATGTTGTCCATATCAGCATCAGCACATCAGTGGTTAGAGGGGTTATTCAAACAAGGGTGAGGTCAGTGGTGGTAATATCCCTGTGGCACCAGTGAGAAAAGCACAGAGGCTCTCCAGGCCAGGGAAATTTGGTGCAGGCATCACGCTTCTTTTTTCCTGCAGGTTTCCTACCTGCTGCTTGATCTAGACGATGCAAAGCTTTGCTTGCAAGTCAACCCCTTCCCGAAGGGCATTCCCAGGAGGGCAGCAGGCTAAGGGCATTCCCAGGAGGGCCGCAGGCTAAGGGCATACCGTGCATTCCTCGCTCGCTGAGGTTCCTCCTCGGAAAGGAGGACAGCTCAGCGCCGCAGACGTTGCTGTCCGAGTGCGTGTGCTCCTCAGAGCTGCTTGGAGTGAGCAGAGCTTCGTTCTGGGATGGGAAAAGCAGCAGCTTCTGCCCTTTGAGGTTCAGGCGGGCAGGGCTGATGAGCGGCCGGCGGTAGCGCAAGGAGCCCGAGCTGGAGGTGACGGAACCAGCCACGGACGGTGCCGGGGACGGGATGCGGGAGGGCGCGCAGCTGCCCGACAGCAGGGAGAAGTGCTCTGCAATGGAAGGAGAAAAAAGAACAAAGATTGCAATTCAGTAGAGGAAGCATGACTTTAACAATTCTGCAAGAAGGGGAAACAGGCACTACAAACGCCCAACATATATTGTACTTAAGTTCTTTATTCATTCTGATTCCACACTGCAGTACACAGAAATCCTGCACACACTTTGGTTCACTAATGGATCACTTAGACTAGATAATCTTTTCAAGAGATGAGTGAGCTTTCTCTCTACTTAATGGATCCATCCAGGAGAGCCTGCATTACATGTACTGTTTGCACTTAAATGAACAGTTCTGGCATGTCCTTTAAAGGCTGTTTTTTGGGAAGTTATATCAAGAAAATAAGGAGAGCTGTATGATAGCATTAGCCCAGGCAGTGGCTACTTTTCCAACAGTTAATACTGCAGGAGCACAATCGGCCAAATGATCCTTTGAGGTCAGTAGTCAACAGACAGGTCCCTGGGAAACATGGGAGCAAAAGGGCAGAGCAGACAGGGCAGGTAAATGAGCAGTTCCCTGGGCTGGGGAAGGAGAACACCACAGAAGAGCTGCACTAGGAACAGTTCAGAGTCTCCTCACAAAGCAATCTCACTCCTGTGTAGCAAAGGGAAGTGATTTTTGCTTTGCCTCACTGATTTCACCATGAGCTCTCACAGGGAAAGGGATATCCACCACACACAGCACCTTGTTTTAATGCAGTCCCATTCTTAATTTGAGCTCTCACTTTAAACCTGGATCATGTGTTTAAACCTACACACTGCTAACCCTGCAAAAACACTTGGTCTGCACACCCTGGGCCTTACCCGATGTAGGGGATTCCTTGGACTGAGATGACTGCGAGGCCGGGCGGCTTCCACTGAACAGGTAGCCAGAATCTAAAAAGCCAACATGAAACAAATATTAACCAATTTACCACACAGCTCTTAGCTAAGCTGCTGCAGAAGCATTAGGAATTAAAAACAACTGAAATATATAATGAGTAGTAACACAGCATCAGGCTTAACAGCTGCCTCAGGGACTAGGTTAACCCTGTTCTCGCTACACAGCCTCTATAAGGAAAATGCGTGTCAGAAATCAAGATGTGCCTCGTTAGCACTGCCTCGTTAGCACTGTCTACTGCAGGGCTGTTTGTTCCTGCACCCCTTACCTGCCCTGGCCAAGGAGGGGATGGTGCCCAGGGAGAGTGCCCTGTTCAGACGCCCAGGAAGGGAGGAGGAAGACGTCCTGCGCGGGGATCTGAAGAGCTGCTGGTTGGTCAAGTGCAGGATACTCGGAGGTGTTGGGATAAAGAGAGATGGAGCAGCAGGAGGGAAGCTGGTCGCGGTGCCGTTGGGAAACAGCGTAACCGAGTCCCCAGAAAGGTACCTGCAAATGAGAGGCACGACAGACATTTAGCAGTAAGTACATGGCAGCACCACCCTCTCAAATCTAACTTAGGAGTTCAGGATGATACAGCCACAATAGAATAGAAAACACTTATTTTTGAATGAAAACTACCAATTTTGAAGTTGAACTTTTTATATACGAAGGTTTATTTCATTATTAGGTTTGTAGTAATTTTTCAGCACAGGAGTGCAAGATGCAGGATGGTGTAGAGTCTATGGGGCTGTTCCTAAGCCTTTGAAACTGGGAGAGTGAAGAACTGCTCAGTGGTGCTTGAATGATCCTGCACTAACCTGTCCTGCAGTGCTGGATATTAAAACTGGTGGGACAGTTTAACAGCTTGGGTGCAAAAAGGCTAATTCCTTGGCTCTCTTTCTGCCTGAGAACATTATCTAGAGACCACTGGAATGTTTTACAAAGTCCAAATATACATAGGACCAACAGTGGGCTACATTTTAGGTTTATGTACACATGTAAACATGCTTGGAAATGTCATGACTAGGGAAAGCGAGTGATTATCTACCAGTCTTTTTGTCTCTAGAAACCAGAATCAGCATCTTAATTCTGATGCCAGTAGAGAAAAAACTCCTGTTATGGGTGCTTGGATGGAAACTTTGGCAAGACATCTCAAGTTTCTTTATTGCATTTGCCCTTAAAATACCTTTGTAAGGAAAGGCAATCTCACTATCCTCATTTTACAGATGAGAAATAGAAGCAAAAAGAAGCTAAGTGACTTGCCAATGGTCACACAAAAAGTCTACGACAGAACTGAAACACTAGTCTGGGTTTGCCGATTCTAAACTGAAGCCTAAACCATTTTCCCTTCTCTGCATACTGTAAGGAATGTACTTCATAACACCCAAGCATGTGCTAGCACAATTAATTTCCAATAGTCCCATATTATCACCTACAGGGCTTCACCTTTTAAAAGTAACCTAAACTGCACAATCTACCAAAAAGTTTTTCCCATTTCTACTTT